ACAGTACAAACCCTTCTGTCCTTCCTTTACTTTCACATCTATAGAGCACTTCACACCTCCACAGGGGTGGGTCCCGAAAAGTTAACTCTGACACTTGGTTTAAAAAAAAAACATTGTCAGAGACTCTCCAATCATTTGATGTCTTTGGAGACGTGTAAATCAGCGATTGGATAGCAATTAATTATGATTCCACTGAAAACCGCCTCCGTTTAAACGAGAATGGAGTTGCTGGCTGCAGTTTTTGTTTAATTCAGTCATCCCCAACTGGTACCGGTCCGCAGCCCCGGTACCAGGCCGCGCAAGAAATAATTAAATATTTCTGTTTTATGTATTCTGGAGGATCTTTTATTTTGAAAATCTTTCAACCTTTAATTGAACCCACAAGCAGCAAAAATGAGTAAGAAACAGATCAGATGTCTTTGGAAAGTTTCTTTGCAAAGGGGAAAAAGCTCAGAGAAGAGACAGGAGAATGGATTTATCCCAGTAAATGATTCCCACATTCCAAACCCGCTCTGCATGATATGGTGGCCATCTTGTTAATGAGGTAATGAAGCCTTCAAACTGCTTCGCCATGTAGAGACCACACACCCTGTGCATAAGCAACACTTCGGGTGTCATTGTCTCTCATCACTCCCAGATGGGACGGTCTCGTTGCAGAGAAACAAGCTCAGGGCTCCCATTAGTCATTATCGTAAGTTAAAATTTTCATGAAAGTCAAATGTTTGTTTTTGTGGCGCATCTTTATCTTATTTTGAAGGGATATATAAGGGAGATGGTACCATATTTGTCACATTCAACAGGCTGCGTTCTCGAAACCCCATTGGCTGCAATAATCAGGCCAAGACAATGTAGAATATGCCTGATTTTTAATCGGGCATATTCTACATTGGGGCAAAAAAAAGAGGTTTTAGCTGGAACACCAACATGCAGAAGTATTATCTGACGGTTCCTCGCCCCCAGTCCATGGTAAAAAAAAAAGGTTGGAGACAACTGGTTTAATTTGATAGATGTTACTCTAAAACCAGAAACACCCGCATATTAATTAAATATGGTGAATAACAAAATAGGAATTCAGAATTCATTTTTAAATTATTTACTTTGTCATAGCTGGGGCACAATATCAAACTTTTTAAAACCAAACTTAAGTTCCAAAAGTCAACCAATATGTCGCTTCAGTGCACACGCCTTTTTCACACTAACTGTTCAGTCTTATAAAAAGATCCAAGGAGAATGCAAATTCTCTTTTCTTGTTTTAAAAAGTGAAAATACAATTTTCTAATAACATTTAACTAGATTTAAAAAAAAAAACCCTCACTGATGTCTACAATTTTTGAAGAGGGATCTGGCAAGATAGCGACACAATTTCCAAATGTATTTGTGATAAACTTTCACCTTTTGCATCAATGGTGGACTTTTAGAAAACAGTTAAGAGTTTAATAAAACCACTGAAAAAACAAGAACATTGATCAAAGAATATTAACTGAGTGATTCATGGCAAAAATCTTAAAATATATAGAAAACTTGTCAATTTTGTGATAAATATACTATTTTGGATCACAACCTTTTAAACAAAACTCTAGTATTTCAGGAATTTGAAAATACTATAACTTCATTTCTAAATCTACATGTTTTTGACTGTTTGATAATTATTGCTGAATCCTGAAGACTTTTCACATTGAGAGTACTATAAATAGTATTTCACACTATTAATCAGTTACCAAATAAGAAAAATGCACATTAAGTTGCAGTTGTAAGCCTTCTTGTGTTTGGATGACATTTCAGGGGAGCTAATGCCTTTTAAAAGCATTGTCCCCATCCACGTTTCCCAACATCTTCATTTTGACGTCTACCAACTGTTCAGTGGGTGCATGCCTGCTGGCGGAGTTCAAGTTTAGTTTCTGAAAAGTTCAAGAGGTGAGAGCTTCTCAAAACATCCAGAACCGACAGAGACCAGAGAGAGAGAGGCTGGAGGCCGTTCAGACAGTGCAGAGAAAAGGAATTCCGTTAATCCGCCTCTGATCCGGTACAATGGCAGCCTTGTTGTCTGTCCCGTTTGTGCTCACCTAACACAAGTTCAAGCAGCGTTGAACATGTTCGGCTCATTGCTGGAACAACAAAGACGCTCATAAACGTGTGGTTAATCACCAATTATTCCTGCAACGGCTGTTTGCTAAGATGGGACTTCGCCGAGTGCCGCACTGGTTAACTGACATCCGTAATAGTTAGACGGGATGTTGTAGTTAACTTTCGCCGACACTACCTCTAATAGAAAAGTGTCCCAGCCACCACGTCGTCCTGCGCCTTAAGGAAACACTGTGTTTTGTCAGTTAACTGTCGCCTAGCTTCAGCTCTTACCTCCGGCGGGGGAGTTAACGTCAGGCGGCAGGTTGCTCCTGAAGGAATCCCATCACAGATAAAACAATGGCGAGCTTCCTTCAGCGGATAAACACTTGTCGACAAATCGGAGAGCTGTCTTTCAGCACTGTGCTAATCTCCCCCTCGTCTCCTTCTCTTCTCGCAAGGCTAAAATAAACTTGGGGTGTTATTTAAATCACAGCGGTGCACCTGAACCGCAGTTCCGTCCTCAGGAGGCTCCGCAGCGGCAGCGGCAGACCGTTGTCGTTGGGAGGAGGGTGAAGCTGGAGGGGGAAGGTGGGGGACGTGAGTGACGCGAGAGATAACGTTATTAACGTTAATAACGAGCAACAGTGATATATGCGTGAGCGCGCGGGTCTGTCCCATTCGCTGAGGGGTGAAGGGTGGGCGCGTGCGCGGAGGTTCAGATTAGATTAAGGTAGTTTTAGAACAGCAGTTCCAAAACATGGGGTGGGAATCCCACTGGGGGTCGTCAACCTTCAATTAGGAGGTTATGAATGTGATCCCTAAATAACAAAACAAATTGAAAGAATGTTGAGCACTATTGAAGGTCAACTATGCTACAGTTTATTAAATAATAAAGTTACTTCATGAATAATTTAAACGGTATCAATTATCTCCTACAGTTTTTATTATTATTATTACTATTATTATTATTATTACTATTATTATTATTATTATTATTGTTGTTGTTGTTGTTGTTTTCCTTTTAAGCTTATATTGTTAGGGAGGGACAGGGAGTTCTATTGAAGATCAAGTCATTTCCTATAAAGGTGCCAGATCACAGCAGAGGTAATTTAACCCTCTTTAACAGAAAGTTAAATTAGGTGGCAGGTTTAATTCCTGCTCACAGTCGTTGTGTCAGGATGAGCATACCAGCATCTCACTGAAAGTACAGTAAAAGAAAAACATTTTTAATTTTAAAAAAATATGGCTTTATATTTGAAGAGATTTCAGATAAAGTTCAGGAATGAGTAGAGTTGTATTAGCCCCACCTCTCTAAACGTATAGGCACGTCACGCAAAGACAAGTTTCCTTTGTCTGTTAAATATTATTTAAATACATAAATAAGACCAAAAAAACTGAGTAACATTACAATTATTACATCAGTAAAACATGTGTTTAGCAAAGTTATATTTGCTGAAGTGGACATGTAGATTAAGTTGTATTTTCAATTTCTGGGAGTCTAAAAATTGTTATGGAAGTAAAATATGTAAATGTCAGCAAATATTTTAACAGATGTGTGGGCAGTTCTCAGTGTCTCATTAATCTCAACTCATAACATTCACATACTACACCAGGTACATGCAGAATTATATAGTTCTTCTGGCTATACTGTGGTGTTGGTGTCATTTTGAAGTAACTGGCGGTTGCTTCAGACAACTGTTTATTAGAAAGTAGTTGTAGTTTATTTAGAAGTAGAACAAGTTACATAAGTATGTTAATCTCTTCCACTGCTGTTTTTGTCCAGTCACCTTGTTATCTCCATTGGTTTCTTTAGCTGCCTTGGGTCAGCATTTGGGGGTCTGCTTCAAATTGTTTAATTTTGCCTAATATTTTTTTTTACATTCTGCATTTAACAGTGTGATTTAAAATCAACTAGTGAGCCAGCAATGGCTTCCTTAAACTAATGGTCCTTCTGCTTGCTTTCTGCCTGGCAATCAAACTCAGAAACTCATTCCATTTGAGGAAGCCATTTTTGAGTTTTGTGTATAACCCTAAGATAGCCAGTAGGTGTCACTGTTGTCTATTGAATAATTGAAGTTTAAAGCAGACAGGACCTTTCATTCAGAGAGCAGGTGTTGGATGCCTGAGGAGTTGAGGAGTTTTTCACTGTTGCTGTTCGTTGTGAACTGTTGAGATGAGCTCCAAGTGATTAGATTAACACATCTGGATTAATGGGACCATAAATCATTTAGTTTAATTTGTGTCAACTCCAACATTTCATCAACTCATTCATTTTACGTACAACATTTATTGAAGATGAGCAAAACTTTAAAAAGTCAAATAAAATTCCACCACTTTCACATTTTTTGGTACACAGAATCGACGTTTAAATAGCTAGTTATATTAATATTTGCCATGAGCAACAATTTATGGTTATTAACAGTCAAACTAGACCCAGTAATGTTGTGCCACAGTAGGGTCCAGTTCTCAAAAAGTACTGTTGCCACTTTTTAAGAAAACTCATGCAAATCATTTATTGGATACATTTTTTTGCAATCATCATTGTATGCAGTGTGAATGTTGCTATTGTCGGAGCAGGAATACGTTAAAGCGTTGTTTTTAAGGGAAAAGATTTCTGGCGCCAGAAAGGTCGATCTGACCCGATTTTATCTGGAAAGTACAAAATGTTGGACCAAAACTCGGGTTGGAAAGTACGCTGTTTAGATAGATAAAAACAACTACTATTTTTAATTGACTTGTTTTGCAGTTCTGATATGTAGCAGATGTTTAGATGAGAGGTCACTCAGTCAAAGGGCAGCCAGAATCCTGACGCAAACCGACGTCATTGGAAGCTATAAAAATGTCTGTAGACAAAGAACGGAAAGATTTTGGGGACTTTTGATTTTGAGACTTTGAGATTTGAGAAACTATGTTTTGTACGATGAAGCCGTGGTAGAGTGTGAATAAAATCTCCCGACCCGTCGTGGCTGGCAGTAAGAACTCGTCTCTGTGGTTTATGTTTATCTATATATTTGAGAGTTTTTCGCCTCACAATTCTCCAATACGATTGTTGTATTTTGTAAATTGGTATGCATGTGTGTCTTTGTGAAGTGATGTCGGGCATCTACATGTTTGAATGATCTGCAGAAAGGGAACCTGCTGTTAAACAGCAATTTTGCTGGGCCAGGCCCAATTCTTTTAATATTTTCCTGTTTAAAACAAATAAATTAATTAATAAACAGATTTTGGGGTCACAGACAAGGTACCAGAGAAAAAGGAGTTGCAGAAAACTGTTTTAGATGTTACAGCTGACATCTAAAACATGCCAATTACACATTTGGTGCCGAAACAAATATTACCAAGTTATGATTTAGGTCTGTTTCATCTCACAATTTCTTTAATATTGAAGTGCTGATCATAAAATGGGTCTTCAGGGGCGAAAAAATCTGGTCACTTGTTCGCTCCACTCCGTACAAAACCGTTCTCTGTTTCAACGTCATACTGAGAAATGCACACAACAAACGGTCCTCTCCACAATTTTCTCTATTATTACATTACTTTAAACTATAGGAATGGTCTGATTGAAAAAATGTTAGTTATTCACAAACAGTAACTTTGTAAAGCCTTAGTGTACCTTGAGAACAGTCAGTGGTCTATGCCTTCTTGCAAATAGGCAGAAGAACATGGTACCATCAGGTGTCTGAAAATTGAACTCAGACATGTGAAGGTCTAATTCTCTTTATTTTGGCTTATGTAATTAGATTTTTTTCAATGTGAAGAAGAAAAATGTTTAGGGTGTTTCTTTAAAACAGATCAGCAGGAGTTCCTCAATCAGAACCTTAAAAACATTGACTTTATCACCTGGGACTCCACTGATCTTTTAGAGGTCTAATATCACATCATGTCTTAAATTAATTTCTCTAGATATTCTCACATTTAGCAAATAGACATAGTTTTGCCCATCAAACAAGACAACACGTCTATTGTTGGCAACATGTTTCTGCGGCATGTTGCCGGCAGAAAACTCAGGGAGTGGCATGTTTTCTTCTGTCCATTTATGAAAACTCTGTGCATGCAGACCAGTATAAATCAGACTCTTCACTCTTCCGCCTTTTGCATCCTAATCTCATTTAGTCATTCACTGCTGATGTTCTTTCCACTATCAGTGTTTTATAATGAAGAATCATTTCTGTTGCTCAGTCTAATCTGAAAGCAATGCCTTTCATATAAATAGAGAAAAACAAAATGCAAATCAAATAAAACGTAGAGTTGTTATTCTTTGCTACACTTTGGTTTTTAATGTATTTGAATGTTTAATACTAACAATATTGGTGTCTGTCATGGAGAAAATGTGTAAAGCTTATTAAAGTGGGATTCCACAACGCTAAGATAAAGGTCAAACATATCTAGTGGTTAAAAAAACTCCATATTTATAGAAGTTGTTTCTTTCTTGTTTTTGTGCTTACCCTTCTGTGTTTTCAAGTCTTTAAGGGTTTTAGAAATCACAATATTATTATCAACAACCGTCTTGCTAGAATAACTCTTGGGGATTCGACCAATCTGTTTTGAGTTAATGTAAAAGAACACAATCTCTCAAATACATGCTTTTTTAACTACGGTCTACAAATTTTCAACTAGAAAAATTAGCAATTCCTGCCATAATGTTTTAAGTTGAATATTTTCAGTGAAAATTACAGAGGCATTTGAAGTCAATGGCAGAAGACTTGCAGAAATGTAGGTCATAGGCAGAAGCAGCTGAATAAAGCAAAAGCATGCAAAACACATATAACTAAACCATAGAAGCGGAGTAAAAACTTTCAGTCGATGCAAAAAAATAACACCTGAAGAGTATCAGAAATTTGTGCAGAACACTGTTTACATAACTAAGCAGTAAGGCCAGGACAGTTTATAAGCTAAATGAGCTTAAAAACCAAAGCTAGCTGAGAGTTAGGCCATAATGACATACAGCCTGATATGAAGTCTTTTCGCTACAGGAATTTGAATTTGCTTCAGCTTTGTCGTACAACTTTTAATCATGAAGAGCTAAATTATTTTTGCTTAAATTCTGTGGTGGCTGTTTATTTTTTTATACTCTGTCTGTAACCTCAAAAAGTCTATCAGAGTTCTTTTGGACTAAGGATTGGAAAATGGTTTGAAATTATGGATGGAAAGAGGGTTAGAAGGGTCAGGGATTCTAACCCTCCATCCAGTTCAGCTGGAGTCAGAAGGAGGGTTGGAATTAGGGTCAGAAATTGTTCTGTAATTGAGTTTTGTCATTCCCAAAACTTTGCACTTGAATCTAGACCGATGACACTTTGCAGTGCATTCATTGTCTAACTGCAGGCAAAATACTGCATAGCAAATACAATACATATACTTATAGAATTCAACTGTGCAGGAGAATAAAGCACATGTGGCAAAAGTCTGGTGTTTAAAGAATTAGTTTTATAAAAAGATGCTGTTGGTAATCATGGATGGAAAACAGTACATCAGTGCACTGTTTTTCATCGACTTCCAATGAAGTTGATCGAATTAAAAAGAAATAATAATCATTTGAATTTCTCTCTTAGACCACAACCCACTTCCTCTTTTATTATTATTATTATTATTATTATTATTATTATTATTATTATCTGACTTATTATCTGACTATAATAATAATAGTATTAATAATGCCATATTATAATTTCCTGCAAATAAAAAAGAATTGGATCTTTTCACTATCAGAAGATTCCCCAGTATGGTAACACTGTTTCAAACATACAACTGAAAACTCACAGTACATGCAGTGCAATTCAAATATTTATGTATATATAAAACTTCACTGCATAACAGATAATCTTGTGAAATGAAGTGCATACAGACCAGCACAGCGAACCAGTACTTAAGTATCTGTACATATTTGCTACAGGATATCAATCTAGCTGTGAGTGAAAGAGGTGACGCCTGCCTCATCTTTACTCTCCAACCTTCCCTTGATGTCAAACCATGTAATTGTAGCAATAAATTATGCCTCAAAGAAACCACAGTTTGATAACGCTAAAGATAACCTTCATTCGCAGGTAATTTCGGAACTTCCCTCCAAGTAATACAGTTTCTTGTTTGTTTATGATAGATCCATCTGTCTTGATTTAATCATTATAATATGGTAGTGATTACCAATAGCTTAATCTTCAATTAGCTCCAAATATAGCTAATCACTTCCAATTGAAGTGTTAATGTTTGATTTTGAAAACTAATCGAGATAATAGAACACATTCCACTCATTCCTTTCTATAAAAAATGTAATTATCCCAGACAAAAATAATTTACCCTTCAAATTGACATTTGACAGTTTTTTTTTTTTTTGTTTATTTAACAAGACTGATATGATTGTCGATACTTAAATATTAGTAGGTTCCTACAGTTAATGATCAACCATTTATGAGACCCTTGTTGATTCTTCTCTGGAAGGTGGAGCCTAAAACAAGGGAACAATAAAGATTGTTGTTTTCCGTGTTCTTCAGCAGAGCTCGTAGCGATGACAGTGAGCCCAGCTAAAGGTTTTCCATCATTCATTTCCCAGGTAAGATTTGTCTTGTTTGTGTCATGGAAAATAGCAATAGAAACTACAGGCAGATGTAAAGCTTGTGCTTATGAGGTGCGTCATTTGGTTTACATTCGAATGGAATCCTTCATTTCTAGTCAAATTATTTGAAATAAATGGAAGTTTAAACTGATTCTGAACACTAGATGTGCCGAGGTAACAGATTTATGTCAGTGATTGACTGTGTCTTGCTCAAAGTTGCAAGACTTTTAAATAAAGCCAAAAGATTTAAAACTGGGAGAAATTTAGATAAATAGCTTGATAAATGAAAACTGGATAGATAAATAAATAAGGCAGTAAGTAATGTTAGAGAGTTGCGTTTTTAATTTCAAACAAGAAAAAGACAGAGAAGAAAATTAGAGACAAAAAAAAGCTATAGATTTCAATGATAATATTAATTTAACATCTTCAAGTCAAGAATTCTTTATCTGGCAGACCTTTGAGGAAAACCCATTTGGATTAGTTGGCAGATCTTCTCTTGTTCAAATAATGTGATTATTTTGAAGTTGAACATCATAATCAGTTAATAGAGGATGGATGTTTCTATGTCCTGTGAATTTTTTTAAGCACATATGGTTAAAAATTATACTGAACAAATCTTAAAGTTTTTTTCTGTTAGGCAATGAAATCAACCACAAGACTTTGATCAAAAACAGATACTTTGTTTCTTTCGTTAACATGTGGGCAGCATGATCTGACCCTGTGGCTGACACTTCAGTATAATTTGTTTATCTGACCAAGCTAATCCACTTATTTACTCATAAACTGCTGCGTCTATGATGTAATTATAATTTCCTCTTCCCTTGCAGGAGCAGATGATTGTCATCTAATAAACGTGCAGCCGGAACTTGCCTATCTGATTTGTAGTTGTCTCAGAGAGGGTAAGCGGAAACACCTCCAACTCTGAAAGACCAGGCTACCCTAAAAAAGTGAGTTTTAGAGGTCAAAAACATGTCAAATCCTGATTTGAAGAGGCTCGAGATTTTCTACAACCTCCTGAACAGTTGTAGTTTGGGTGCATTTTGCAACAACTCTCTGCTGTCATTTCACAATTCAAACAATGAGAGTGGGATGGAGAGTCCGGATGATGGAACGCTGAGAGTGTTCATCTCTGTGGTCTACTTCATTGTGGCTACAATTGGAGTGTTGGGCAACTTGCTGGTCATGTTCCTACTTTATTCAACTCACACCATCACCACAGGCACCATCAACTTCTTTGTTTTCAACCTAGCTTTGGCCGACCTGTTGTTTTCTCTTGCCTTACCCTTTTGGGCGGTGGACATTGCTCTGGACTACAGTTGGCCTTTTGGCTTAGCCACATGTAAGGCTGTGTCATTGCTAACTGGACTGAATGTCTTTGCAAGTTGCTTTTTCCTGACAGCTATGAGTCTGACACGCTACTGCTATGTGGCAACAGCTCTCAAACCTGGATCATCCCTGTGCAACAGATCTTGCACCTTCCCGGTAACCACAGCTATCATTTGGGTAGGGGCTCTCGTCGTGGCGGTACCCAGGGCTGTGTTCGCAGACCTCAGCCGTGTGGGCAGTGGAAATGACGCAGCATGCTTGCTCCGCTTCCCAGAAGGCACGGCTTGGCTCGGCATAAACCAACTCCTGCGAGTGGTTCTGGGATTTCTGCTACCCTACACCATCATCATCCTCTCCTACTTGCTCTTGCTGCGATTCCTCTGCAGGCACAAACTGAAAGGCAGCAGCAACACTCGGCGAAAAGCTGACATCTCAAAATCTGTGGCTGTGGTGGTGCTGTCCTTCTGTGCCTGCTGGTTTCCCTACAATATCCTCACTCTCTGGAGCGTCCTGATACAGCTTGACATCATCGATATGAGCAAATCATTCTACACTGCTCAGACATACTTCTTCCCTTTGGCCAACTGTTTAGCTTTCACCAGCAGTTGTTTCAACCCTGTCATCTATTGTCTGGTCAGGAAGGAATACCGCACAGCTCTGCATAATGTTTTCTTCAAGCTGAGTTTGGCCATCATGTCCAAGATGCCCTATGCGCTTAACTCCGAGGAGGGTTTAGGGCAAGGCAGTCAGCTCGGTATTCCTCTCTGCAACGTCTACAGCCAGACGTGCCAAACTGACTCAAGGGGCTACACACCGCTGACAGCACTTCCAGCTGGAACATCACCGCTGTAAAGTCTCAACACAAAGATTCCTCAGTCTTTTTCTGCGATAGTGTGTATTGCTTGTGTTCTGTGGGGACATTAGGAGCAGATAGTATCTTGCCTGCAGCCGCAGTCTGAGACAGAGCCGCACAATTTTGAAAAGCATTGTGAAGTGCACAATTCAGAGACTGAGGTCCAGACAAAAGTCAGGGAGCAAAAACAATCTTTAATACATCTGCAGACGGAGAGCAAGAAATACACTGCATTAGGCACAAATTAGGATCCGCTCTGAGGAACTCAGAGTTGCATAGTTACTTTATTCATCTCTCTTTACTACCGAGGTGGAGACTCAGTCTTCTAAGACCAAACAAAAGAAACAAAGGAAAACATACGAAACCTTGTATGCTCATTCACTGTAGTGTTTACGGGATGTGAAAACTAAACACTTTATCTCCATGCAGGGAAGGCCACGGGAGAAACAACATGTTCCCAGGGTTCAGCGACCCTGGGAAACTTACTTCAGTAGACACATCTTGGTTCATTAGTTTGCACAGCTTTTCCAGCTGCACAGGAAAACACCTTGACTGAGATACAAAAAACGTTAGATTTATATGAAACATAAAGGAACATCATTTAATACGAATAACCCTTCTTCACAGCATCAATTGCAATTATTTTTGAGAATGCACCAAGATCAGTTTTGCTAAATAAGCATTATCCTCAAACTTCTGTTTCTCACTTGTTTTTATGATGATTCCATCAGTCCATGTCCTATCAGGGTTGAGCACTGACTGTCTATGGTTGAAGTGGTGCAGGGCAGAAAAACACAGACAGGAAGTCACCAGAAGTAACCTTCTGCTCCTACCACACACCACACTTTACTACCCAATAGGGTGAAATGCAAAGTTATACATGCGACAGACTGGTGACCTGTCCAGGATGACCCAGAACGTTCGCTGGAGATTGGCGCCAGCACCACTCCTGACTCCACTAGGGACAAGGGCATAGAAGGGTATAGAATAACCACTATTAGTAATACTAGCCAATGAAAATAATGCATGTTTTTGTTTATGTATTCAAAAACATGTCTTGTCTTGAACTGAGACTGTTCAGCTACCTGCAGCAGGTAAGATACTGAATGCTCCATATGAACTCCAAAAAGCCTCCCTTAAAGAAATTCATGCTGTTCTTTTAAGACTTCTGACTGCATGTTGTACTGTTTAACATTTAACTGTTCCTCCTAATGGTCAGTAGTGTCAATATGAGAATGTCAATGTTGATGCAGGTGCTTCTGCATAAAAAAATGAAATGTTTTGACATTTTTCAAAGTTGCATATGCTAAAATATTACCTAAAGAGATTGTGCCAGCATCTTTTCTTTTCTTCTTCTTTGTTATTTGATTTAAAAGAATAAACAATATTTTGTAGTTGTTCTTGATAACGTTTGTGGAAAAAAAATCTTTCCCCTTTTGTATTCTGCAGTTGCAGCAGCTGTTTATGGTTGTGATTATTTCATTTCAGTGTAAAGTGTGCAAATGTTTAATTGAAATCTTACAATAAAAACCAACTGAACGCAACCTGCAATTTGTTCATCGTTTGTGTTTTTTGCCTCACACTTTGTATCAGCAACTTTTGACTCTTTATAGAACAAAACTGGTCAGTCAAATATTATTAAAATGTTGAAATATTAATTGCATTGTATAACTACAGAGCCAAATACATTTTAATTACACATTTGTGTTTTAGTCCTCTGAGACTTTTTTGAAATATTTTAGAACTTTGAAAAAAATCTCAGTCATTATTTGCATTCTCTAGTACACCACAAGATGGTGTGGGTACTCCTTTTTTTCAGTCAGGGAAGATGTGCACTACAAAAGCAATGGCTATTTAGAGCTTTTTCTCAACTTGCATATAATTTTTGTCTGTAATTTTGCATGGTTACATTAGCATTGGTGAATCTGCATTCCTGTTTTTCTTTCTTTTACAAGACAATATGTGTGAATCAATTTTGTATTTATTATTTTTGGTCTTTGTCTCTCTTTTGTGTCCTCTTTTGTCGTAAATGAGCAGGTTGCCTTGGTAACGTTATGGTCGAACCATTTGTGTTTTGTGAATTTTATACATTACTTTGTATTTGTACATTAAGTTTCTTTGTCATAGATTTCTGTGGAATCTGTGCTTATATGTGGATTCCATTTTCAAAACTTTGGCGGTTTTACAATAATGCCGTAGAGACCACAAGTATTTAACTGTACAAATTTTTGTCATGGGACCTATTGACAAGAAATTGTAAGCCAGTTGTAAATAAGCAATTATTCCCAAATGAGAAATATAGTCACAAATAACTCAAATTAGGTTATGGTTATTGAAATGGTTAAAAAAAAATAATGGACTGAATGTGTTGTTTGGGAGTGAGTGTGACTTGACCCATACTTCCATAATGACATAAAAAATATTGAAGGTTCTGGTGATCTCCTTCATGCACATTGATCTTCAGCTCTTTCTAAAGATTTTCAATTAGTCCTGTGATGGACTGAACCAATCTAGATTTCCTGTTTCTACAAGACGCTCTTGACTCCTGGACAACTCTTGAGGCATTTGATTTTTATTATTTTTTTTACTCTTTTACTCTTTACTCTTCAAAACACCTATGAGAAGAACCTGGTGATGGGGTATTTATAGTTAGATGATGTTCTTTCCTCTACCCAAGTTTAGAACTACCTATGGCATCTTTTGCTAAATCAGATCTTTTATTGTCCATCACAAGAATCTTTTTCTGTGCTGTGAATTAGGACAAGGTGCCCAAGTTTATTTCTAGAGAGTTACTATTGTGTAACTCTTACATGCATCCCTTCTACAACACACCTGAATCAAATGAATGCCTCATTACCAGGTCTCTGCAAAGCTGATCAACTAATCAGAATCATGCAGAATCAGGATGCAAAGAGTCTGCAAAGCTCCTGAGCAAAGGAGAAAAGCTCAGGAGCAAAAACTGAATCAGTTTTTGATTCAGATGTGTTGGAGCACATGAGAATGTACACCAAGTAATTCTTAAGTACTAATCTTTGGCACCTCTGAAAGACTATACCAGGCAACATTATTTGTTATCAATAGGGGGCAGAATTGCTTTGAAAACTGTAACACATTTCAGCCAATTTCCTATCTTATTTTCATAATGAAATTTATAAAATTTGTTCAGATGAAACCGTTTTTATATTTTTAGATTTTAATTCTTATGAGAAAATGCAGCACCATTGTTGGGTGTACAGAGATTTTATTCTGAAAAGCCTAAATAACACACATAATGGAGTATGACTGCTGTTGAGGACGAGGAGTAAGATCTATGAAACTGATCCGCCTTCATCCTCTCGCAGCCTGTCAGAGTCCTGGCTGGTGTTCATCTGTTGTCTCTGTGTGGATCTCTGATGGGAAACAGCTGACATCTCATTACTCCTACAGCCACCGAGATGATGTGCCTGAATGCTAAGCCACGTTTGGATGAGTGACTCGTTCTGGCTTTGATTAGCTGCGGCACAGGACAAAGCTGTGAGCTGATAGAGGAAATATGCTTGGTGTAGTTTCCTCACGTTTTCATTCATTACAAAGAGGCTGTTGAGGCTTCCAGGAGTAAAACAAGGAATCACTGGAGGTGTTTTGTTGCTGCAGTGGGATCCAGGTTGTGTTTTAGGGTTGAGTTGGGACCCATCCCTCTTGTAAACAGAAATGAGCAGCCAACACCAACATTACCAGGTTGTGACGGTATTGCAGGAAACATACTTGTTTACTTTTTTGCACAAAATTAGTAAGACCACTTCCAACCAGTGACTTTAGTTACAAAACATAAAAATAGGCACTGACTATGTCTACAGAAAATCCGCCTCTTATGTCCAAAATTTTAAAGCTAAACTTTAAAATTAGTCTAATTTCCCAGTAGATATGATAAAACAGAACACTGCTGACTTTAACCAAATATTTCAATTGGAGTTGACATTCAGACCCAGACAACACAAATGACTGTCTACATGCTGCCTACTGTAACATCTCTTATCTAAAGTCAACCTGAGTACCAGCAACCCTAAAATCGCCCTAAAATATTTTGTACCAAAGATTTTAAAAAATGCACTTTCTACATTCAAATAGAAAACACAGAAAATATAACTTGTACCCATAATGGAAATGCTTAGTATCTGCCTTAACATTTTAATTACTACTCTAGAGAAATGTAGCTCATTATCTACCAATAATTCAACATAAACGCAATCTACTTACATTTATATTGGTTTGATCAGGATTGCTAATGTTGTCATATGGCATAACGGAAGAAAACAGAATCGGATGGCTGCAAATCAGAAACAAAATTAATATCAAAAAGGTGCAATACAAAGATTTTAGAAGAAGTCAAATTACATGTGACATTTGAGCAATTTTGAAACCAGGTAACAGCCTACAGCTAAGGATAGTTAAGAAATGGAGGTAGAAAGGGACAGAATGGCAACAGGCAGATACAAAATAGGGAAATAAATTTGTAAAGGGGCGAAGTTGCCCAGCTCCAGACACTTGTCTTGTGAAACAAGAGATGATCAAGAATTAGGGATTTAATAATTTATTTAAATCACTCAGAAAAAAATCACCTGAAATATGAATACATTCCCTTTGTTCAAAACAAGTCATATCAATCAAGTATACTTACACTAATATTAATTACAAGCGCAATCATACCTACGATTACTACCATTATAAATAAAATTACCAACGTTAAACATCCACCACACAACATCAGGGGTCTGGAGGGTATGGCTTATCAATGGGGCATGGCTTATTTCAAAAGAAACCTCAAGTAAATTAAGGTATTACATCCAGGAGGCCTAATTCAAGTCAAAAATCCCACCAACAATATATTTGTGGCACAGTAGATCAATTGTGCAGAGTAATAGCTGCCAAGAAAAAAATAATTTTTCCACTCCATAATGCTATACATCCATTTTAGAAACATGAATAGGCTGACTGATGTTGTATATTCTTTCTTAAAATATATAAGATAATCTTACTCTGTTAGGTCTTGCTTTGCCGTCAGGAATATGGCAGTTTCTCTCCACCTCCCTTTATCTCAAAAAATTTCATAAATTATCTAAGATTTCACAATTTTGCAAACAAACACTTTTCAATAGAATTCTCCATATAAATTCTTAGAATATATTATTACAGTGGGTCTTTTTTTTTCAGTTATTGTTAAACTTGTATGCCAACTACTGGTCCATCACAATAATGTACATGGAGAGAACAAAGAGTGACTGAAAGTAAAAGGGTTTCATATTCATGGGCATTTGGATTAACCAAAATTCTCATCTGCAAAAAGTCTCTGAATGTTCTGTAGCTATTTGGGCCAATTACTTTTTCAGATTTTTAAAAGCTGACCTGCCATATCAGCCAGACATTTTGACTGAAAATAGTGCTTGCTCAGACCTTACAGATGTGCTTTTGCAGGCTTATGACCTATTCAAATTTTTTATCTCTAGATTAGTGACTAAAGATCAACTTTTTCTGTGTGTATCCTTTTTTGTTAATTTAGTAGAAGTGCTTTGTTTTGTTTCCTCTGTGCTCATCATAACACCTGAGAGTATGACAAATTTGTGGAATGCAAATAATATTAGTTTGACTGTGATGGTAGCGGCACTTAAATATGAGAAATCTCAGAAAGTGTGGAACATCCAGAAATAGCAATAAGCAAGCAATCAAGATCTGAACCTGATTTATTTCCCTATTTGGTTAGTCGTAAAGGTTTAACTAGTTTGTACTTGGGGTAATTTAAAAAAAAAAAAACAAGTTGTTCTAACCAAATAAACAAAAATATTTCCTTACTTTGTATGGTATAAAGCAGACAACTGGCAAGGGCTTTATTTAAGAGATAGCCCATTGCAGCCAACACAGATAAACCTTCAATAATATATAGGCATAACTTTAAATAGTTTATATTTGCTTTCGTTGAAAACATTTCTCACAGACCAAGGATTGCAGCGTCCAGAAAAATAAAAACAGATATGAAATATAATATTTTAGGATACTGTATTGCAATGCAGGCCAAGTAAATAAATAGATACATATTTCAAAAAGAACTTAAAACTGCAATCCAGCATTGATGAAAGCACCACAACTGTTTTGGTTACACAACACAGGCGAGCAAGTATAATAATTGATCATCAATTCCTTCGGAAGAAAAGAAAAACACTCCGCCCGCAACTGTTGTTTCTGGATTGCAGCATTAAGAGTCATCCTAGAATATAAGAATTAGTTTTTGCCACAACTTTAACATGCCTGAGGGCCTACCCTTGATTTGAATACATTTTACATATAAGAATAGATATACATTAAGCTATTTTATACATTTCTGTTAACATAAACATGTAATTTTTTTTATAATTTATCTTGAAGTAAAATGTATTTTTAAAGGCAAGAGGTTAAGATAAAATATATCAACC